AAAGCGGCATCAAAAATTACTCGAGACGGCACTGCAGCTTGATGCTGCAGGTCACTCTAGAGCATCCCCTGGTAAATTCCTCCTGGGTGAGCTTCTTTTCGAGATCCAAAGGCACGGCAGCGCTTACGGCAGTCTCAAAGGAAGTACGCGGGCATGGCTCCTCACGGCTTTGCTCTCCAACTTACTCGCGCGATTCTCTCCAAAGCCCGGAGAGCTCATCGACGGAGAACCACGGAAGTACAAAGCCAAAGCCACCTCCGCTCGCTGCGAGCAGGAGCTTAACGACGTGATCAAATGCCACACTCACGATTTCAAGCTAGACAAGAGTCTTCCCAGCGCTGTTCTTGTGGTGGTGCAAGGCGGGAGGGACGAAACCAAGTGGCCGGACTGCATGTACCAGGCACTGAGCCAGACGGGCATGGGGGCAGCGATCAGGAACTCGTCGGCAAACAGGCTCCACTGCCTGGTGCTCGGCGATGGCTGGTGGGGCTGTGCAGAGATCCATCCTCTCGGCTACGTGATGGTCAAGCCTGGCAAGCCCGGAAACAAGATCTCGAGCAGCAGCGTCAAGGAATTCAGACGTCAGCTTGAATCCAAAGGGACGATCAAAAGCGGTAGTGCCAAGCTCCTCTGGGAGAGCTTCCAGCGCTATCCAGACAAGAAGAGCTTGTTGGTGGAGCTGGAGGAACGAGTGAGGCTGCGAACCGAGGAGGCGGCCAGGGCACTCAACGCCAGGCTCGTTTTCGACAAGATTGTGCACAACGAGGATATCGAACGCAGCTTCTCGCCTGTGACTGAGAAGAGAAGACTGCTGCTCGTAGGAGCGATTGTTTGTGACAGCACGGTCTACGAGAGCAGCATTCTGAGCTTCCCGGTGGCGCACAAGGTAAGCGCCAATGACAAGCTTCTTGTTTCGGGTCTCCTCCGGATGTTTTTTGGCAACCGGGTGCTGCACTGGACGCTCCCCGGGATCCAGACACTGGTTGCCACACGCGACAAAGAGCTTAAAGAAAGAGTGAATGGCGTGCTAATGCCGTAGACTTTGTTACGTTGGCGTAGAGTTTCGTGCTGCCGAGAATCGATAGCCATGAACAATTGAACAACCATCACGACGAAATGGTCGAAGTTTGAGATCTTGCTTAGAACTAGGAGACCATCATGTTGGCTGCAAGGACATAACCAGTAGCTCCTCTCGGATCCTTGTCAATGACATTCTTGGCAACGAAATTCCCAAACTCAACGGAGGATCTGTAGCTCCTACATGCCCCCAAGAGGCACTTCCAGTCCACAGTCTCGGGCTCGAAGGGCATGGTTTTGAGCAGCTCCTGGGCAGAATGCAAATACCCGGCTCTCCCCAAGACATCGATCATGCACCGAAAGTGGAGCTTCACGGGCTGTACATGGAAGTCCATCTCTATCGACACGAAGCAAGATCTTGCCGCGTAGACGCTGCCAACGTGGCTGCATGCCACGAGCGCACAGCCAAAGCATCCATCCACGGACACGTCCATGGCGTTCATGGAGTGGAAAACGTATAGTGCCTCGTCGGACCTGCCGTTCTGTGCGTAAGCTGCAAGCAGTGTGGTCCATGCAACCACGTCCCTTTCGGGCATACGCAAGAACAAGGACCCGCAACGACAAAAATGCCCATTAAGGGCAAATGCGGTCATAAAAGCAGTCCACGACACCAAATCATGATTTGTACCACTTTCAAACAGATATTTGGCTTCTACTACACATCCATTTTCCGCAAACGCGCTGAACATTGCTGTTTTTATTTCAGTGCTCTCAATATGTGCAGCTCTGGAAAATTGTCTTGCCTCGTCTAGGTGCCCCATTCGGCGTATGCAGAAATTAATGCGCATAATGGTACAGTGTTTTGCTCCGGCGTAGTTTCAAAATAGATTCTCGCTTCCTCCAATTGGCCCCTGCAAGCAAGAAACGATACCACAATATTCCAGGATACCATATTTTTGAAAAGGTCCATGACTCGCTCAAAATCCCCATTCGTGGCATATGCAGTCAAAAGTATGTTCCACGTTACAATATCTTTTTCCAAAATATAATTGATCATGATTTAATTGCTGCATTCTATTAGCTTTCGCCAAGGCTGCTAGCACAGCATTGCATGCCAAAGTGTTCCAATACGGCATGCAATACAGCAATCGTAAGGATTCTTCCAAATACCCATACTGGGCAGCTGCGACAACTATGGTTGTCCACGACACTATATCTTTCCATGGCATCCGGTTAAATATTTTTTTTGCCTGATCTAGGTGGTCATTGTTACTATACGCAGCCAAGTAAGCATTCCATGCCACGAGGTCGTGCTCTGGCATCTGTAGAAAGATACTTTGAGCATATTCTGGTTATCCGGCGTCGGCAGATGCTCTGACCATGGAAGTCCACGAGGCTAGATTGCCCTCCGGCATGTCCTCAAACACGAGCTTGGCAGCATCTAATTTGCCGCAGTCTAAGTAGAGACCCAGCATTGTGTTCCAAGAAACTAATTCCTCTGGGGCATGTTCTCCCAAACCTTTTGGGCATCATTTGGCATGGCCATTGCGGAATCTCTCGGCCTGGTTTGCGAGCCGGATCGTGGCGTACGCCGCAAGCAAAGTATTGAAGCATACAAGATCTCGTTCGGGCATCATCTCAAAGATATGCTCTGCTAGAGAGAGCGAGCCGGCTCGAGCGTACGCTGCGAGCATCGCAGTCCACGGCACAAGATTGTGCAAAGGCATAAGATGAAGCAGTTCTCGGGCGCTATCAAGATGCCCAGCTTGGGCATAAGCAGAGATAATGGTGGACCATGAAATGAGATTCGGCTGAGGTATGCTCTCAAAGGTTTGATGGGCTAAATCTAGCAATTGGTATCGTGAACATGCCGCGAGAATTGCATTACAGCATGCAGTATCTAGCTGAGGCATTCTTTCGAAGCCATGTTTCGCGTCCAGCAATTGCCCTTTCCTGGCATAATCACAGATCGTAACCGTGCTCGATGATATAGAGGCCATTTTATCGCATTGTTTTTGCCACGCCTTGTGTGCAAGGTATGTAGCTTTCCATTGACGTGAAAAATGGCTGTTTCACATAGTAAGTTGTTATTACGGTTTAAGCATGATGAATCATTCTTATACACATATTTATAATGTATTATTGAATAGGTAGTCGATTTGGTTCTGGTAGCGCATTAAAATGGTGTCCCTGCGAAGCTTCGTTGTCGGTGTCAATAGCCCATTCTCCATCTGAAAAAGATACAACCCATTTCAGCCAGTTAAATTTACTGTGAATGGTTCATTCACGATGACAAAGGGCCCAATCTGGAAAGAACAACTTGACGTACTGCACATAGAATCCAAACATATTAGATGTAGCCGAAGAGCTCCCGTATATGATATACGGGAGCGTATATCATACCATCTTTGAAGTTCTTCTCGAACCAAACTCTTCAAATCATTTGCAGATGTGGCTGCTGTATCCTTGCTTGCAACTATCAGTGCTCCAAGGCGCCTTTGGTCCTGTACAGACAGCAAAAGTACGTTAGATGAATCTCACAAAACAAAACCAAGGAATACAAAGTACCTGACCGACAACCATGATTTGATCAATAAGACTGCTTTGCAGTGCTGCCTCTTCAATCTCTGTTGGCTCCACATTCTCGCCTGAAAAATGATTCTCATGAATACTTGAGAAAAGCAAACGCTTACACCATAACCTGTTGAGAGAACACTAGTTTCTTTTGCACGCCCCTCCAAGACTAACATTCCTCCACATTTTCTAGCAGCGCCAGTTTTCCACACTGGGGCGACCCAGCCAAGATCACCCGTGTCAAGCCAGCCATCACCGTCTATGGCTTTTTGTGTTGCATCGGGATTCTACGCGACAACAAAACTGAGCGAGATGTGATGCAAGAGTGAAACTCGAAAGCAATGGACCACGAACCATCACTATTCCTTTGTTTCCATTAGTCAAGGTTTTCCTGCTTTCGGGATCCCCAAGAAGTTAGAACGAGAGCATGCGCAGCACCACAACGCACAGCACTAACAGCTCCCAAAAGGACGGAGCCGCGTCCTCCTGTTGTGAATGGTTATGGATTGACAGAGTCCTCTCCCGTAGTGTCAACTCGAGCTTTTTCCGACAATGTAAGTTCTATTCGAGCTGCTCACACAGAGACTCCAACATGATTATGTTTTCTTGCTCTCAGGTTCTCGGAACAGTTGGAATGCCTCTTCCAGAAACTGAAGTAAAAATTGTTGCTCTCGCTGCTCGTTTTCAAGTTCTGGAAGCGCGCCAAAGGGATGACGAGTTTTCGCGCAGCGACGACAATCCACACTCACAGCTTTCACGCAGCCCAGCAGGGAGTGCTCGTTTTGCTGCATCCACATCATCAAGACAAGTAAGCATTTTCCATGGCTGGAAACCAGGTTTCCAAGCGCTTGGAGGTTGTCTCTGAGCTCCTTATCGCAAGCTCAATCCAGGAGTCGCGCATGGCCATGGCTTGTCTTGGTTATGGCCGCTACCCAGCTATACAGTGTTTGCTCATGATCTTGCTTCAGCAGCAGAGTCATGACGATGGTGTGCTCAACAGGTCCAATGAGGTAAGCTTTCTCGCGTACGCTGGTAAAGCACACAAGAGAAGCCAAGTGTACATTCCTCGACCTCAATCAAGATATATCGGGCTCACAACTCTACGGCTAAGACTTTATGCCTCTGCAGCGTCAATCGGTGATCATCAAGGGATCATGGGGCAGTGCAATCTTCACGCTCCAGAGCTCGGCTTTATTCCCGGATGTGGATCGAAGTCCTGCAACTCTAGCGTAAGAATACTCTCCATACTCCTTGGCTCAGTGGTTCCGAGTCCGGCATACTCTTTTCCACTAAATGTAAGTCTATCTTTTCCTGGTTCCACACTTAACACTTGGCTTCTATAGGTTGCGTAGCCGGAGCTGGCAAGTGGTGCTCGTTCTCTCTTCTGGTGATCTTTCCCCGTGGACTTGTGTGGAGCTCCAGGTGCCGAGTTATCCATTACTGTTTGAGTTGGCGGTGCTCAAACTCAACACAGGTATTCCGCAGCTTCCAATCACCCCACTGCTTATCAAGCTAGTCTGCGTCAACTTTCAAGGAGATTACAGTACTACTAACTGTAAGCTGTTTGTGTTTTTGTTTGCATCATCCTTATCAAGTACTTTGGTTTGAATTTCCAGCAATCTATGAGCGGGAAGTACATCGCGACATTGTGCCTGAGCGAGGAAAACAAGAAGCTCCTTGGTTCCTTGGTGCTCGGCTGCTGCTCAACGATGATGAAAGCCCTCCATGCTCTTTACGGTTTTGTGGCGCTCTTCCCTCCGGGACTTGTGTTGAGCTCCAGGCGCCGATTTATCCATCACTGATTGAGCGAGTGTCGCTTTATGAACCATATCGTAAACTGCACTTCAGATTTTCGTTCTTTACGATAATTGACGAGAATTGCTTTGCAGGGTTTACGCACTCAGTGTCTTGGACATTCTGGACGCTCTAACTGGACGATTTCATACTGGCAAACCCCAGCATTTGCTGGTTATCGGGGAGCAGAGAGTCACACAGATGTTTGGGCCCCGGAGGGAGTGCTCGTTTTGTGTCATCGACATCAGCAAGATCACGCTCAAGACAAGTAAGATTTTGTCATTCTTTTTATAGAATCATGCCCCTTAGTTTTGTTTTTTACTGTTTTGACAGTGTCGGGGCTTACTTTCCCGTGGCATGGCAGCCTTCGTGCTTTGGAATCGACACTCCCTGATGATGACGATGCTTATACAGATTTAAGTACTCTTCCAAATTCCTTGTGGATTTTAGCTCTGAATTTATGTGTTGATTGAGCAGGAGGTCTTTAACATGTTTATTAATCTTATTCACGAGTCAAAAGGGGGCTGGAAATAATTCACACGTACGTTTGATTTCAATTTCTTTCGATGTTTTTTGGTTCTTTTATATTAATTTGCGAATGCAGGAGCTATAAATTAGACTCCTCAAATTTATTGATTATATAAACAGCTGAACCAAGCCCAAGGGATTATAAGAATTTTAAAGAATCATTGTCTTGATTTGTGTGAATTATTTATAAGTTGCATTTTTTTATATTTATTATAAAAATGTATATATATATATATATATACACACATATATATATACATACATACATACATACATACATATATACATATATACATATATATATACATATGTAAAGGAGTTAATGCAATTAGTTTTTTCCCTTTTACCAATTAGTAAATACTCTAAACGTTTCCCCTAGCGAGCATTATAAATTTATAAAAACAACTTACGAAGCTAAACGAATTAAAGACATGAAAATATTTTGGCAAGTACTTTCATTAACTGTAGCGCACGTGGTTTTGTCCCTTTATCCTATAGTAATTTACTATAGGATAACACCACGAAGCGGAACCTAAACCCTCTTTGTGCCACATGACGGATGCAACGTGTCACATGCCACATGTCCATGCCACGTGTCCATAGGAACCCGAGGTTCAGGGCCTTGGGCCACTGAACGAAGGAATGGTGCCAAACTCCCAAGCATGGAGCCAAGGAGTGATGGAACCGAACCACGGAGCAACTCCCGAGCATAAAGCCCAAGGAGCGAAGGGACAGGGGCCTAGAGCGACTTGGAACAGTCCTAGAGTAACCAGCATCCCAATGCCAGGACCAGCATGCAAAACGGAGCCAAACGGGGTCTGGCGCTATTTCGGTATACCGGTGGCCTAACGCGAGGACATGGGTACTCCACCAACTAGCATGGAATGGAACTTGGGCTTAGACCCAAGCCGGACGCAGAACAAGGACAAGCACGCAAGCGGGAGCTAGACTATGCCTCAGGTTGGTCGGCCATGCCCGACCTACCCACTATCCCTACTATACATTTGGAACCCCCCATAGCCCCCCCCCCTTGAGGAACACACGCTTTGGGCTTTCACCCCAAGCCTACCCTTAGTACCAGGAGTTAGTCTCTGGGACAAGCGCGAAACTTACTAAATATAGAATGGCGCTAGATTGCGAATTTGGACATGGGACGAACACCATTGTGTTCAGGCCGATCTCTACATTCCGTAGATATGCCAAATGAGCGAATCTAGACACTTTCTATAAATAGTATTTGGGACCGAAATAAGACTAACACAAAGGGCATGATAGCGAGGGTGTTTGGCAGACACGGTAAGCTATCATCTAGCGATATTGAGGGACCAATCTCAATACGCGAGGGTTCTTGTCACTAGCAAGTGCAAGACAAAACGAGACGGGAACTCCTTACCGGGCTAAGTATGCTTAGCTAATAACACTTAGGAATTCCGTCCTTATGCTCGTCCGGTCTAAGTACACTCGAAATGCCCAGTTAACTCCACTAGCACAAGAGGGGCTAATAAAGGGTCCAGCAATACCGACCTCTTGCCATCGTGGCAGTAAGGTAAGAGTGTCCGTAAGGACTAGTCTATAAGTAACTTTCAATACCCGAAGTCACATGCGCAACACTCTCCCCCCCTAGGGAAGATCGACGTCCTCGTCGATGCACACTCGAGTCTAGAATACCGCCAAGGAAACAACTCTAGAAAAAGTTCACGGTACTCACACTATGTGAGAAATGCACCAACTTAAATGAGTTAGGGGCAACCTCTTTGTCTAACGCGGATGCACTACCAACTCAGACACCTTCCGGCCGTCGCCGACAAGGAAATGACCAACAAAGTTAGCCACCCTTGCTGCGCTGGGAGTCACCCAGCTACAAAAGAGTGATATGCCCCTGCCCGCAAGGACATAGAGAGAGAAGCCAGAGGCCCCAACCCTCCTAAGCAAAGAAACCAAACCCGTCGGTAAGGTTTAGATAGACTATTATAAACAGGCAGTTAGAGTTGTTTACACGGTCACGCCCTTTTAACGGAACAAGGAACATCGACAGAGAGGCGGGTGATGTGACCAGTCGACAATAGCTACCCCATGACTAAAGATTTCAACATGCACACAAAGTGCCGAAGCCAGTTTACTTATACTGGCCCAAACTCAAAGATCAATAGATGGACAATATCAAAGTCAGAGACAATGTTATCTTAGAGACTTAATTACCAGTGAATAAATCTTAAATTAGAACACAAAAGTATTCTAAGTAAGGTATCATCTGATAAACTAGTAGTATAGTAGATAGGAACCACCAAGATCATCAAAATTGGTAAACACAGAATGTACCATCCAACAAAATTCAATAGGTAGTATATCATCAAGGAAACTCAATGATGAAACTGAACTACCGAAAATGGCAGACAGTATGCCAAATAACTTACTAAAGATAACTCATAGCACATAAAGGATCATCGACTAGCAAGCAAAATGCTCGCGAATGTATCACCCGAAGGAAATAACATCCGAATCTATCAAAGTGAACTCAAGCAATAATCAACAGAATAGAATGAATGTTCCATGGCTAACAAACACTCGTTCATGCCAACTATCACACGAGCCAATCTGAATAGACCCCGGTCAACAATACCAAGGAACTAGAGTTGCTCTAGCAAGTGTCAGCAACATCCTATCGATGTCTCAAACCCAAGAGACCAATCCAGAGCAAACCATAAAGAACATGTGGTATTGCAAAAAGCCAAAAGCTATCAAAGAGAACAACTAACCATCATGAAAGATCATTAATCATCCCATCAAAAAGATATGCTAAATCATCGTCAAGCAAGAATCTACCATCCCGAAGAATAGCAAATAATTCCAGACTAACAATAATCAAGCAAAACTTTTGACAAGGATAATCAATATCCTAGATGACAGTCAATCATTACCAATGATTGCCAGATGCAAGAGCCAACTTCAACATCGAAGCTAACAAGCCAAAATGCCTTCCCCAACAACTCCTAACAA